GAGAGGAGGGAGGCGGGGGAGACGGGGATGGGGACACCGCCAGGCCCCGACTGCAGATGGCTTTTCCTCATCCCTGCCTCCAGTTCCAGCCTCCTCCTGCTCCTTCCAAACCCCTCCAAAGGGCTCTTGCTCGTTGTTCCCCGAGGTGAGCCCACAGCTTTGCTCAGGAATGGATTTTGGGGCCGTAATTCCCACATTTCCTCATGCTGGGATGAGCCCCGGGACAAGGCCAGGCTTCTCTTTGTGATTTTTCCCCGCACTTCTCTGGCCGCTCCAGGGGGGTTTATTCCCTTTCCCAGCTCCTCCTGAAGGTGCAGGACTTGGCACTGCCCCACACAAACCCTCAGCAGGTCCCTCCACGGGGCCACGTCTCCCCTTGGCTCCCAAAAATTGCCCAGACATTGGAACATCTCCCTCGGAGCAGCGGGAAGAGCTTCCCACTGCATCCCTGCTGCCACTCCCAGGATGAAACCTCAGCCTTTTTGTTCCTGAAATTACCATTTCTTTCTAAAAGCAAAGAGATCTGGGCAGTTTGAGCTTTTCATTCTGAGCTGCAGAGCAGTTACTCTGAAAAAGAGATGAAAAAACAATGGGATTGCTCCAAAAAATCCCAAATACAGCGGGATGAGTGTGAGTCCTGTAACCCATATGCTTCTCTCCTGGTTTTCCTTTCTCTCCTGGCTTTCCCTTCTCTCCTGGTTTTCCCTTCTCTCCTGATTTTCCCTTTTCCCTTCAGTTTTCCCTTTAGTTTTCCCTGTTCTCTTCAGTTTTCCCTTTCCCTTTAGTTTTTCCTGTTCCCTGCCTTGTCCTGCTGGGGCGTTTTCCCCCTGCTCACTCCCGGCTCTGCTTTTCCCGTCAGTCTTTCCCGGGATGAGCTCCCGGTGGAGCTGCTGTCGGCCAGCCTGCTGCTTCCCATCCTTCATCCTTCCCACCCAGCGAGGTGCTGCTGGAAATTTCTGCACCTTCCCCTTTGCAGGCTGAGCAAGGCTAAAACACCACCAGGTCATTCCTGCGGCAAAAATCCCTGGAAATCTGAGGGAAAAATTTGAGTGTCCCCCTGCTCCCGCTGCTGGCAGCCACTGCTCACACAGGGATGGGTTGGAAAAAATGAAGGGTTTGAGTTTGGGATGAATCCCCAGCTTTGGGATTCTCCACAGCTTTGGAAAACCAGTGGCACAGGAGCTTTGGGGAGAACGTGGGAATGGATTGCCCGGGACATTGCAGCTGGTTGGGAATGGGAACGCCCTGTGGGGCTGGGAGGTGAGGGAGCTGCTCGTGGGGCGTGCTGGATGTGCCAGGAGCCCGTCCCAGCTGGAAAGCATTCCCTGTCCTTCCCCACATCCCTGCCTGACAGCAGCAGCTGCTCCGGCTGCGAGCAGCTGCTCCCAGGCATTCCCTGGGAGTTTTCCTCGCTTCCAGCTTTGAGGTCGGGCTCTTGGAGCCGGGCACTTGGCACCGGGAGCTGTGGCTGCTGTTCCCAGCCCTTCCCGGCCCCCGGGGTCACTGGGGATGGGGGCGGGGGCGGCTCCCGCCGGCTCTGGCACGGCTGGAAAATGGGGATAAGGCCTGGCAGGAGCCACGGAAGCTTGGGAATGGAGAGGTTTATCCTGATCTTGGTATCAGTTATCTCCACCCTTTTCACCCTGGAATCAGCACCACGGTGGGGACAGAGGGTGACAATCCCTCGGCCTCTCCCGAAACCTCGTGGACAAACCAGGGATCCTTTAACAGAGCTGGGGGGTTTCCCTTCCCAGGTGGAATTTGGCAGAGATCCTTTCCCGAGGGGTTTTCCCTGCCCCTGGGAGCTCTGGAGCCCAGGAGCAGGATGGGAGGAGCAGCCGAGCTCATTCCTGATGGAGCAGGAGCTTCAGGGAATGTGCTGGAGCTTTCCAGATGTGCCTTGGCTCCTCCAAGGCCCAGATGTGCGGGCTCCTACCTGCCCCACATCATCTGGGGCCCAGATGTGCAGCCCTGCTGTTCTCAAGCACAGATGTTCCTTCTCCTGGAGACCCCAGACCTTCCCTGGGAGTGGACAAATCCCAAAAATCCCATTTAGAAACAAATTCTGGTGACGCGTGGGAGAACTTGGAAAATTTTTTAGGATTTTTTTCTTTAGGATCTTTAAAACGTGGGGCAGTTGCTGCCCCTCTGAAGCTGTCAGGGAATTTCTCACTGATTTTGGGGGAAGAAATTCAGAAATTGAAGGGTTTGGATGTAAAAGCTGAACATATTTAAGGCATTTAATGGGGTGCCAGAGCCCGAAGAAGGGAAAACTTCTCCAAGGGATGTTTTTTCCTCCAAAAACAACCCCTGGAGCAGAGCTCCCCTGGATCCAGCACCTTCTCTGAGGTCCCACAAGCCCCGGGACATAAAAGGAATTTTGTCAGGAATGCAGAGGCTTTTTGTGGTGATCTCAGTACAAACGAGGCGGCTCCGGGGGGATCTGTGCCTCCCACCCCTCAAACCCCCCAGCAGCTGTCGAGAGCCACAGCTGCAGCTCCCAGCGCTGCCAAGAAAAAAAGCAGATTTTTGGGTGATGATAATATAGGAGCCGAACAAAAAAGGGGGAAAAAAATAGGCTGGAAAACACAGTTAGAGACTTCAGGGAACTTTATGGTCAAGCTGAGCTTATGTAAACCTGCTTTAATCCTAAATTAGCAAAGGTTCGCCTGAAAGAAAAAGGACTTTGCTGTGAGCACGATTTGGTTCTGGCTCCCAGCGAGGCTGGGTGGTTCCTGTGGAAAACAACAGCCAGGCTTGGGAAGGGAAAAAATCAATTAGTCCAGTGAATTCTCTGTTTTCTTGGGAAAGAAGGAAGAGGTGGCAGGGCCAGAGCTGTCCTGACCTCGGAGGTTTCCCGTGTCACATTGTCCCTTCTCTGCTGCCCTGGGCTGGGGACACATTTTGTGGCCTGGCTGAGACCCTCCAAAATCAACATCTGCACCCCACAGGGGACCCATAACCCCACACGGAACATCTCTGGAGCCCAGGATTGCTCCAGGAGAGACAACATTGGAGTTGCAGCTCCTCCAAAGGCTGCTGAGGACCTGGGGGACATCCATGTGGGGCCTTCTGCTCCATCTCCAGCCAAAAACATGGGGCAAAACTGGGTTCATTTATTCCAGCTGGCTTCACCAGAGCCCCAGGAGGCCACACCTGGTGCTGGGATCACGGCAGGGAGAAGGGAAAGGGAAAGGGAAAGGGAAAGGGAAAGGGAAAGGGAAAGTCCAGGTGGAGGAATAAGTGACTGATTAAACACTGGGAAAGGACTGGATGGAGTCTGAATTCCGTAGGAAATTTGGGAGTTGAAGAGCTGAGTTGTCTCCTGTGGGCAGCCCAGCCTCCAGTGAAGCCAAGCCGGAAGGGTTTTTTCATTTGTAAAAATTCCCAATTGTTCCTCTTTCTTTTCTTTCCTAAGTATAAAATACTGAAATCTTCAAGCCCTTGACAAAACACCGGAGAAAATTGGGCAGCACATCATGTGTTGACAACATTTCAGTTCCTGTCTTTTTCAGGGCAAAATGGGCAACTCTGTTACAGGAATTTCCAAGGAAAAATGGAAATTCCTTGAAATAAGCCAAACACTGGGAGTTCTTTTCTCTGTAACAATTTGAATCAGGGACTATGGGCTCCCCTTTTTCTGTGAGAAGTTTTGATTTCCCAAGGTTTTCTTAGCAATGTGGGGAAAAATAATGATAGCAAATGCCATAAACAGCATAAAAAGAGTGGATGTTCTGTCCACAGGACAGAGAAACTGGAGATTCCTCACCCTGGAAGTGCCCAAGGCCAGGCTGGACAGGGCTTGGAGCAACCTGGGACAGTGAAAGGTGTCCCTGCCCGTGGAAGGGGTGGAATGGGATGAGATTTAAGGTTCCTCCCAGCCCAAACCAGCCTGGGACTCCAGGATTCCCATGGCTGAGGAGACTGAGGCATTTTGTTTTTCCAACTTATCACTTCTATTGAATTTTGCTGCACTGCAGATACTTTTCCCAACAGGCTGTTGTCACACATATACACATATTCTAATATATAGAATACATAGTTATATTCTAATATATAGAATATAGTTCTATAGTTATAATATATTATACATTCTATATATCTATATATAATAGAATATATAGATTCTACTATAACTTCTAAACTCAGCTTACTCTATATAACTACACTCCTACATTACAAACTCATCATCTTATTAATACAGTTTCTCACTTAAGGTGTATTCTTACTTACAACTATAAAAACATATTTATCATTTTTCTACTTAATGTCTGTGTATTGTACTTTTACATTAATCCAATGCACAGCCTTTTTGTATCAATCTAATTTACATTAAGCTAATTAATCTGTATTTAAATTAATCGAATTAATCTATTTTTACATTAATCTAATGTACAGCCTTTTTCTAAGGTTGCAGATGAAACCCTTCAGTGTTTGTAGAAGTTTCTGTTTTTCCGATTCCCATATGGGAAGATTCTCACATGGGAACATAATTCCAGTCAGCAAAATTTCAGCAAAATAAAGCTGACTTTGTTGGGGTCTTTACAGAATTCACAGAATCACCGGGTTGGAAGAGACCTCCAAGATCATGGAGTCCAACCCTACCCCAACACCTCAACTCAACCCTGGCACCCAGTGCCACATCCAGGCTTTGTTAAACACACCCAGGGATGGTGACTGCACCACCTCCCTGGGCAGCCATTCCAGAACTTTATCACCCTTTCTGTAAAAAACTTTTTCCTGATATCCACCCTATATTTCCCTTGGTGCAGCTTGAGACTGTGTCCTGTGGTTCTGTCAGTGCTGCCTGGAGAAGGAGCCCAGCCCCAGCTGGGCACAGGCACCTTTCAGAGAGAGTAGGGAGTGATGAGGGCAGCCCTGAGTCTCCTTTTCTGCAGGCTGAGCACCCCAGCTCCCTCAGTCGCTCCTCACAGAGCCCAATATTTTCCCCCGTGGGACTGAGCCCCCTCTCCTGAGCTCCCGTTTGTGCCTCTCCGCAGGGAACCGCCTGGACGAGGGCTCAGACGTGGAGTCGGAGCCGGACCTGCCGCTGAAGCGCAAGCAGCGCCGCAGCCGCACCACGTTCACGGCCGAGCAGCTGGAGGAGCTGGAGAAGGCCTTCGAGAGGACCCACTACCCCGACATCTACACCCGCGAGGAGCTGGCCCAGCGCACCAAGCTCACCGAGGCCCGCGTGCAGGTAAGGCCCGGCCTAACCGGGTGCGGCCCGGTCTAAGCCCTCACTCCCCGGAGTAACCCTGTGCACCCCCGGGTTAACACTGCACATTCTGGCATATCCTGTGCAGCCCAGCCTAACCCTGTGCAGCCTAGCCTAATCCCATGCATCCCGGCCTAACCTCAGGCTTCCCATCCTAACCCCACACATCCCAGCCTAACCCCACACTCCCCAGCCTAACCCTGTGCACCCTACCCTAATCCTGCACACCCCAGACTAATCCTGCACTCTCTGGCCTAACCCTGTGCAGCCCAGCCTAACCCTGTGCAGCCCAGCCTGACCCTGCACAGCCTAGCCTAACCCTGTGCAGCCCAGCCTAACCCTGCACAGCCCAGCCTAACCCCACACTCAGCGCACCAAGCTCACCGAGGCCCGCGTGCAGGTAAGGCCCGGCCTAACCGGGTGCGGCCCGGTCTAAGCCCTCACTCCCCGGAGTAACCCTGTGCACCCCCGGGTTAACACTGCACATTCTGGCATATCCTGTGCAGCCCAGCCTAACCCTGTGCAGCCCAGCCTAACCCTGTGCAGCCCAGCCTAACCCTGTGCAGCCCAGCCTAACCCTGCACAGCCCAGCCTAACCCTGTGCAGCCCAGCCTGACCCTGCACAGCCTAGCCTAACCCTGTGCAGCCCAGCCTAACCCTGCACAGCCCAGCCTAACCCCACACTCCCCAGCCTAACCCTGTGCACCCCAGCCTAATCCTACACACCCCAGACTAATCCTGCACTCCCTGGCCTAACCCTGTGCATTCCAGCCTAACCCCACTCATCCCAGTCTAACCCCACTCACCCTGGCCTAACCCCGCTCACCCTGGCCTAACCCCACTCTTCCTGGCCTAACCCTGCTCATCCCAGCCTAACCCCGCTCACCCTGGCCTAACCCTGCTCTCCCTGGCCTAACCCCATTCTCCTCGGCCTAACCCTGCTCATCCCAGCCTAACTCTGCTCTCCCTGGCCTAACCCCACTCTCTCTGCCTGGAACATGGCTGCTCCTTCTCTGCTCCTTCACTTCCTTCATCTTAACAGAGAAAAACCTTTGCTAGAACGGGGTTAAACAATCAAATTAAAGCAGATCCATACTGGAAGCTTCCAGCCTGGCATGGACACACCCAGTCATGGGATTCCTGCAATTTGATAAGGATGATTAATTAGGATTTCTGACTGGTACATTGGGGGGTTCAGTTGTCCCAGGAGCTCGCCCCATGTCAGCCCCAAGGGCTTCTCGGCCCCATTTTCTTCTCAGATTGTGGTTGGAAAACAAAATGTTCTTCTTGGAAATACGGCTCCACAGAGTTTTAGGGATGCGTTAGGAGGTTAATAATTGTCCTAAAATCTTGGGGAAATGTAGGAAAACCACCAGGAGCCACCTAACTCTGGGATGGCACCCCACAGAGCTCCGGATCATGGGGAAAACCCAAAGCTCTTTGGGCATCACCTCCCCTTGGAGAGGAGCTGGGAATGAGGCGGCTCCAAGGTGGGAGCTGAGGTCAAATCCAGCTCTGCCTCTCGGGCCCCGTCCAACTCGTCGGCATTCCCACGGATTCAGGGAGGCCCTCTGCATTTGGCCCCTGCAGCGGTACCAGCTGCAGGGTTTGCATCCCCGTTGGGAGCGGCAGCCAAAGTTTGGCATTTTCTCTTGGAGGCCATCCCTCCGCCTGCCCGGGGGGGTTATTCCCGGCTGGAGCAATCCCACATTTCCCAGCCTGGCCCCGCGGAGCAGATCGGATTTTGCGACGTTTGCAAGTTCCGCGTGTGAATTTTCAGACAAGTTTTGTTGGGTTTTTTTTTTATCCCTTGGATCTCCCAAGAGCACAACAAGGGCAGGCTGTGGGGGGGAAAGCAGGAGAGGGGAGGAGCGGGAAGGGAGGGTTTGGAGCCGGGAATTCTGACATGGGCACGATTAATGGCCCTGGGGGGAGCAGCACACAGAGCCCCTTATGTGTCCCACATAAAGGCTGGGGCAGCACTGGGATCAGCAGATCCCAGGATAATGGAATCCCTCGGGAAGGGGGAGGGATTGGGGATTGGGGATTGGGGATTGGGGATTGGGGATTGGGGATTGGGGATGCAGCACTGGGATCAGCAGATCCCAGGATAATGGAATCCCTCGGGAGGGATTGGGGATTGGGGATTGGGGATTGGGGATTGGGGACTGGAGACTGGGGGGGTTACAGCAGTGAAATGGGGACCCCCACAGTCCATGCCCCCAGCAGGAATCCCGGGCACTGTGGGAGCATGGAAAGGGCTCTCCTGGCTCTCTCCTGCCAGAGAAATACTCCTGGAATGAGTTTTTCCAAAAGAAAATGAGCATTTCCAAAGGAAAATGAGCTTTTCCAAAGGAAAATGGACTTTTCCAAAAGAAAATGGTCTTTTCCAAAGGAAACTAGGCTGGGTTTTCCTGGGGGTGTCAGGATAAGGACGTGCTCACCCAGGAACTGCCTTAGAGTTTTGGGGTTTTCCCCTCCAATGTTTTTGGGTTTTGGAGTTTTTCCCTCCTGGGAATGGGGTGTCCCCCACTCCTGGTTAAGGATTTTTCTCAAAGAATTGTCCAGCACTCCCAGCACTGTGGCAGGTGCTGCCACCTCCCTGCAGCTTCCTCCTGGATTTTCCTGGAGCCATCATCCCACTAGAGGATGGCTGTGGAGACTGGAAAAGGAAATCCAGCACAATTTGGGCTGGCCTGGCTTTGATCTTGGCCCAGGGAGTTCAGAAGTGTGGATTTGGTGGCCGTGGAGGATCAGGGCCTGGGAAAGTGGCTCATTAAGGGAATGAAGCCACCCAGGGTTGGAATGTGTGAATTCCCTCGTTTTGTTTTGCATGTTTTTGCCCTAATTGTGTAGGTGGGCACAGGCTGAGCATGGGATAGAAAATGGATGTTCCTGTGGTAAATAATGGGAAAAAATGGGATTTTGAGGCAGAGCAGAGTTTAGGGAACACTGTGGGATGGGGCACAATGGACACTGAGGAGGAGGGGAAGAGCCCCAAAACGCCAGGGAGAGCACAAACCTTTCCCAAGGATCTGGGAGAACGGAGGGAGGAAGGACAAGCCAAAAAAAAAAAAAAAAAAAAAAAAAAACAAAAAAAAAAAAAAAAACCAAAAAAAAACAAAACAAAAAAAACAACACCAATTTGTTAATTAATTTCATTTAAAAAGCGCTTTTCCCTTGTCCCAAGCTGGGATCTCCCAATCCCTCCCTGCTCCCAGGCCCGGGGTGAGGAGGCTCCTGCCAGGGCTGTGCAGCAGCTGCTCTCCGAGGCACATTCCTGCTGCCTTTCTCATTCCAGCAGCCTGGCACGGGTGGCTCCTTCCCACCACCTGATTTTCTGGATATCAGGACTGATCTTCCACCGCCTCTCGGGACCTGCAAACGTCACTCAGCCAAGATCTTGTGCAAAAAAATTTAAAAAAATAGCCCCACACACAGACAAACCCACATGGGCACATCCAGCAGGGAATCTTCTCCCACCTCGGGGGCTCTCTGCTGCTGTGACTGAGTTTTTAAGCCAAGAGTTGAGTTTTGGGTGTAAAACGGCTCTGAGGCAGCAGGGCCAGCTCAGAGCAGGGGTTGTTTATGAGGCATGGAGGGACAGGACAAGGGGGAATGGCTCTAAACTGAAAGAGGAACAGTTCAGATGGGATATCTGGAAGAAAGTTCTCCCTGTGAGGGTGGGCAGGCCCTGGCACAGCATTCCCAGAGCAGCTGTGGCTGCCCCTGGATCCCTGGCAGTGCCCAAGGCCAGGCTGGATGGGGCTTGGAGCAGCCTGGGACAGTGGAAGGTGTCCCTGCCATGGCAGGGGTGGCACAGGAGGGGCTTTGAGTTCCCTCCAACCCAAACCACCCCGGGATTCATTCCATTATTCATTTCATGACTCATTCCATGACTCATTCCATGATTCCATTAAGGGTCTCACCAACATCTGCCCGTCTTCCTCATCCCTGAGCTCCACGTGTGGGGTGGGGGCAGAGGCACGGAGGGGTCTGTGACCCCAAAGAGGGACAGGAGAGCAGCTGCCCCACATCTGGTCCTCGTTCCACTCATCCCCTGGATCACAGCTCGGGGTGGCTTCCTTCCTGCATCCAGTTCATGTTCCTATTCCTACATCCAATTCCTGTTCCTATTCCTGCATCCTATTCCTGCACCCTATTCCTATCCTAATCTTATTCCTATTCCTATTCCTATTCCTATTCCTATTCCTATTCCTATTCCTATTCCTATTCCTATTCCTATTCCTATTCCTATTCCTTCCTATTTCTGTTCCCGTTCCTAATCCTATTCCTGCATCCCGTTCCTGCACCCTATTCCTATTCCTATTCCTATTCCAGTTCCTGTTCCTGTTCCTATTCCTACATCCTATTCCTATTCCTTCATATTCCTATATCTGATTCCTGCATCCAGTTCCTGTTCCTATATCCCATTCCCGTTCCCGTTCCCACTCCTATTCCTGTGCTGCAACCCCCCTTTGACACTCCCTGGGCAGTTCCAAGGGGATTTATCTTCCCTCTCTCTGCCCCTCTCTGGCAGAGGGCGAGCCCCCGAGTGCCGCTCGCTGTCCCCATCGCGGCGCTCCCGTTCCCGTTCCGTGCCGTGCCGTGCCGTGCCGTGCCGTGCCGTGCCGTGCCGTGCCCGGCAAGCCGCGGGCTGTGTCCGCCCGTCCCGGCGGGCCCGCAGCTGTCGGGGTGCCCGCAGCTCGGGCACGCTGGCAGCCCCCCAGGCCCCCGGGCGGCTCCGGAGCCCCGCGGCTCTGGCCGGGTCCCGGCCGCGCTTGGGGATGCGCGTTCCGTGAGTGTGAACGGGTTAATCCCGGCTGAGCCGAGCCAGAGATGAGCCCGCGCGGATTTCCGTGGGAATTCCAGGGATTTGTGCCTGTGCGAGGCGATGTCCTGACTCAGGGAATGTCCCGAAGGAATTCTCACCCGTCTGCGAGCCCCCCTTCCCTCCGCCCTGCCAGAAAACAATCCGTGAA